AGTATTTGAAAGTGGCGCCCGAATTGCAGCATGGCGCGAGTTGTCCAAAATCCTACGGTACCAAAGGAGGGGTTTGGAAAAAGGGTGCCAGGCCGAAAACGGGATGCAGCTGAAACAGCAAAAGATAGACCAGGGATCGAGCCCTGGCGGAGTCCGTAATACTTCTGGTCTACTAAGGTGCCGTACCCGGTCCTGTAGGTGCAACCTTTCCAAACAGTCGCAACTTATGTAATTCCGTGTGGAGCCAATGTCTATGAAGGCACCACATTTGCGGCCTCCTACATCGACTTCCACCACGAAATGTTCCCCTCTAGGACCTTTCTTTAGCGCCACCCAAGACTCGCGAGGGTCCTTGTTTGACCACTCACTCTCCAAGTCTTCTAAGGCTTCAGACACATCCAACGTACAGAGCATAGTTTGGTCCGGATGAGTCTGCGGGGTGACTAAAGAGTCATTAGCTATGGCCTGCTCATGAAGTGGGGAGGGTATCGTGCCCACTTCATCTTGAGTAGAAGCAACTAAAACTTCCACCGGCCTTACATGTTTCCCGAGCTAGAAGCTTGGGAAGAAGATGACCCCATCTTAGGAGGTATCTTCTGCGTGACCTTTGCGTTTTGGCACTTGTACTGGGTGTGTCTGTACTCACCACAGTTGATACAAGCGCCGCGCATTCGGCGGTCCCGCCACACGTCTTGATCAAGACCTGCCTTGACCCAATCAGCCACTTTGGTCTGATTAGAGGCGGCCTTCCCTTGACTCTTTGGATGGCCCTTCCCTCGGCCACCCGCCTTAGCCTTGACTACTGCGGCGAGGGTGCTACTCTCAGCGACCTCCTCGCCGTTGTACTCTGAATTGTCCAACAGGTCGGTGAGCTCATCGATCTCCGTTTGAGTCCCATCGGACTCAACCATCATCAACTTAGCCCCTTTCTTCTTCCACTCCTGCGGACTCTTCTACTTCTTCGTGTCATTAGGAGAGGGTTGAGCATTGCCTAGAGTGGCCTCCAAATCTAAGGCTTTCCTAGACAACGTCTCAAACGAATGGTACTCGAGGCGTGCCTCGTTGACCAGTAAGTTCCTGAGGTTCTCTGGAAGACATCTAACGAAGGTTGTCAACAGGAACTGGTCATCGTAGTTGATACCAGGGACAACGATGAGATTTTCCACGGTAGTTGTAAGCTCATTGACGGACTTAAACTTTCTTTGGTCTAGTCTGTTTATCGCATCAGTGGCCATTTGTGCCTGCTGAGGATTGTGCCAGCGAGCTTCTACCATCTAAAATAACTGGTCTAATGTAAGAGACTTAGCCCGGTCCGCCATGCATCGTCCATACCCGGCCTTTGCAACTACACCATCTAGCCATTTGGCTGCCTTACCCTCGAGGTAAGATGCAGCAATAACCACTTCGTCCTCCAGCAAGGTCCTTTTTGCCTTCACCCAAACCGGGACTGTTCTCAACCAAGTGTTGAGTTCTTCGTCTTTCCTCTCGCCTGAGAAGGCAACAGGCGGTTTCATTGGGGTCTTAGGGTACCATTGACCTTGCGGCTGTCCCTGTTGAGGAACAGGTTGTTGCGGTGGTGTAGCTCCTACCGTTGGACCCGAAGAAGAAGACGCAACAGTCTGTGCGGCTGCTGCAAATGTGCCACTTGGTTGTGTACCAGCTTGAACTGGAAAAGGGCCTGACATCGCCGTTAATGGCAACGACGACTGTGCTGGTGGCCTAAATCCTGGTCTTGTCAGAACGTCCAGGATTTGGTCAAGAGTGCTCTGCATGAAGTCCAATGTGCTGTCCACGTGCGCATGCAACGACAACATATTGTTCTTCAATACTTTCATTTGTTCAGACAATGCTGACTCATCCAAGCCCTCTAACTCCGCTTTGTCAGCCTCTAAAGTATCAAGCCTGGCTGTTCTATTTTTAATCTCTATTTCTCTATCGGTTGCTTTCTTCAGGTCCCTCTCTAACTGTTCACGGATCCTTTCGACCTGTTGGAGCTCCCTGAGCTCCCTTTCGCGAGGAGTCAACGGGCTGAACTGCGAGCCCGCCATTTGACTTGTAGATTGACGAGAACCCAAGGAACTGGAAGTACCCGTGGACCCTGTTGGCATTCCCAACTGGGTCCCATTGGTCCCAGACAACGCAGCAGAGGATGCTGCTGAACTAGTCATGGCTGCTGCCCTGACTGCTGCTGCAGCCTGTTCCCTAGCTGCGGCGTTTGCTGTTTCCCTAGCTGCTGCTAGTGCACGGGCTCTGCGTTCGTCACGAAGCCGTCTTTCGTCTTCCGGTTGTAAGGTATGGAACACGTGTGGAATCCTACGTGATCTCGCACGTGTTAGTCTAGCATCGTCAACTCTCTCCTCATTGACGTCTGACCCGTTCATTAATTAGGCAAACATTATCTGCACTAGAACCCCCTAGTGGAGTCCTACCACAGCATGTGTTTGACCGACACCTAATTTTCTAAAAATAGTTGTGTCCGGCAGGTTCCCTACTGTACCGATCAAGTGACATGTATACAACATTCACAATAGATTGTCAACATAGTCTCTGTGTATCCTGATGGGTTCACTTACAGCAGCAATAGATAGAACTGGCTATGGTAGCATCCTAATCTAATCTGTCTGTGAGGTGTTAGCAGTCTGTCCACCAACTAATCAAGAATACAAAAGACCATGTTGCAGATGTATGATTGATGGGTATGGTTGTGTTGCCAGTTGAGCACCAATTAGAACCTACCCTCCCCTCAATCCAACATACCGGTAAGCATCATTGAGCGAGCAGTGTCTTCGTGTGTTTTTCGACCCGCCCCTGTGCCCAAGTCATTGCCGAGCAAGCCAGCCAGTCCACTCTTATTTACCCTCGTACGGAACGAGCCTTACACCCGGTTGATCTGGCTGATCAGGAGGAATTTATAGAGCGCCCCCATCTCTTCAGGAATTCTTTAACGTCGCAGTCAGGACAGCGATCACAGCCAGAATCAACCAAGTCCCCAACCAGAAATATTTATAGACGGTCTGGTAAGCGTCTCATAAAAGGCTGGCACACCCGGCAGGACTTCTATTCAGCGCAGCGAGTGCCAAAATGGACAGCAGCCATCGCATGCGTGACCTACTCCCATTGGGTTGGCATGGTGACCGTGACCCAGTGCTTCGACCAGGGCCCTTCAGAGGCA